CCTCCCAGAGCCTTTCAGCAGCCACCTTATGAATGAAACAAAATGCTCCCCCATACAGAGATATGTACGTAGAGTTGAAACCCGCAATTTGGCTGGTCCACATATTACACTATATCGAATCGATGTTGGTTTTGGTGATTTACCAGGTGAACTAGTTACCGCTCTTGCACCCCACTCCCCCTACCTTCTCCCTAATACACCCTCTCCCTCCAGTCACTTCCTTTGCCTATACACCTTCCCTTGATTTGGGGCAAAACCTGAAGGTCTGTCCGGACTGATCGTTGAGCGTCGGCCGATAACCTTGTTGATTTTGCTGTGAAAGGCGCGATTTATCGTAAAGAAAGCATTTGTTCTCGCGCAATGGAACGGCGAGCGTTTCCCGGCGATGAATTTTGTCCGCATAATCAATCGCTATACAATGGGATCGCATCGTATCCCCACACATATGTGGGTGTTCGTGCCGATCACCCCGACGCCGTGGATGCGTTCTCGAGAGGGAATTTAAGTTCTCCGCCAGGCAAAACTTGTTATCGCCACAGCAAACAACACACCCATATACAATCTCCCATATACAATCTATTCTATGCAGTTATGCAGCCCACCTTTCAAATTTGCCTTTACGTACGGACGTTGTTCCTGTTAGGTGTAAAATCTCGTTGATTCAGATAGCGATGTCGTTATGAAGAACTTGCCTGCACTTCCGAGGAGTTCATTCTTTTGTCTGTATTTACTGGCGTTTTTTATTCTGATAGTTGAATACAGGAGATACACTCAGNNCTTTACGTAGGACGTTGTTTCTGTTAGGTGTAAAATCTTGTTGTTTCAGATAGCGATGTCGTTATGAAGAACTTGCCTGCACTTCCGAGGAGCTCATTCTTTTGTCTGTATTTACTGGCGTTTTTTATTCTGATAGTTGAATACAGAAGATACACTCAGGAAACATCCAGCAGGTAAGTTGCACCCGAATTACGGTTTACTTGGAATGATATTGGTAGTTATGGATTTTCCTGAAAAGAAAAGCTGTTAAGGGAACCATCGGACTGCTTTAGCTCGAAGATTTGCAGTTCTTTCTCTCCAATTTTGACTTTCCGCTTGAAGTGGCTTCACGGGGCTAGAAGGAATCGCTCCTTCCAACCTCCTCCTATCGACCCTTTATAAGTTGCCAAAGGTTTAATTGGTTTTTGTATTCGAAGTGCTCTGTTTTGGCTTCAGTCTCTGGGTCGTCGTTCGACTCCTCGAACTCCAGGAATCTATTCCGTATTGTTCTCTCAATGGTCCGCTCACAGCATCCTGTTTAACCCAAGAGGAGCAAATATACGGCTACACCGTGAACGTAGAAAAAGGTCCCGGCTAGATAGATGGATTATGGTAGCTTTCTCAATACGTTCCCTAACCCTTGGATACTGTAATAACATATTTATTCATAAAACCGGGGCACTTTATATGTAGGTATCGCATGGTACTCCGACAATACGCCTTCTATCGACTTGTTTACCTTCCCCTTTCTTTTCATGGTCATCCCTTTCTGGGGGCCAGTGGAAGTTTTGAGTAAAACTTCTGCAAAAAAAANCCTTTCGCCTTTGTCTATGACCTGTCTATGTCCGCCTTTGTTTGCTATTGTCTGAGGGAAGTACAGCAGTTGATAACGTCAACTCCAGAACCAACAAAAAATAATTCGCCCAGTGGTATTCAATGCGTTGTTACGATTGTGATTGCATTCGTTTACTACGTGAGATGCTCAGATAGTCTCGTTCCACGACACGTAGGAAACACATCTGTTCCTACTCAGATTCTATCGGGTCCCATCCCCTCACGTAGTAGAGTGGCTGCATGCTGCACTAGTCGGGGGTCACTGCTTAAGTTCCTTTTTTTTCTCTATTTCGCTCGCTTGTGTCAAGATAGGATGGCGAGAATGATTTTTCAAGATGGCTCGATTAATGTGCAAGAAGAGAGCCTAGTAGCTCCACCCGCATTCCCAGGTTGAGTGCGCTAATGTAGGCAAATATCTACAGCACTAGAATCATTCCGGAAAAGTTGTTAGGTTTCAGAAGCAATCTCTGGGGCTTTGTTGCCATGTGAGGTATGCTCTTCGACAAGACGCACGTAACCATCTCCTTCAAGAAACGTATTATTCACGAAGTTACCCCGGAAACCCGGAAAGAATTCGCGGACAGGCGTTTAGTTTGAAACATCACGGTAATCGTTGAGCTTCACATGAATTCTGAATGTTGAAGCATGCAGAGCCAAAGGCCAGAAATCCGTAGCGAAACTGACATTAGGCGATTTTGCTGGGGTCATGATATGCGATTCACTGAAGTGGAGATGGGTCAAGAGCACCAAGTGCAGCTGAAAGGAATTGCCTATCGAAATCTATTTTCTTTCTTAGGTTTTAGGCGTAAAACTTTTCATAATCTTTATGTTGAACCTGATAAGCACACCATGGGTATTGCATGTTGCAGGCCCAGCAATTTGGGCTAGCTTATTAAGGTCAGGTCGGTCATATTTTTATGGGATGGTGGGAATGGTGAGTGAGGGGGAACACTTAGCGGATTGTATTCGAATTTTCAACGGAAAGTGAATGCATGGCGTAACCCGAAAATAATGTGTTTGAGTCATTCACCAAAGCGTTTCTTTTCAAGCCATGTGCCAGCTCCGTTTCCTTCGATGCTCTACCACAATTACTGTGTCCATTACGACGTTATTGAGCCGATGTTTACCGATTTCGATAGAATTGCTCAGATACTTCACGTTAGTGCGGATGTTCTTGATCGGCGCATTGTTCAGCAGGTATTCTAATCGATTTCTGTAACCATATCAAACTTTTCTGATTTAATTTACTTTAATAGAAGTTCAGGTGGCTAACTGGAATGGTCCTGTGTCATTGACGGTTGTACTGAGAACGATCAACCAATATCACTGCACCATTGAATTTGTGAGTGTCCATTTGGATTTACCATCCGCTACGATTTATTGTATGCCCTGTTTAGCTGAAGAAGATTCGTCAGGAATCACTGGATGTGGCCCATTACCTCCGTGCTCACATCGTGTTTGAAAAGGCTTTCTCATCAAACTGTACGGTGCCTTCGATCTTTCCATCGTTGGGGTCATCTTCTGCTTCAGAATGCGAGAATCACAAAGCTACAATTGATCAGATTGCCCATTATCCAGCGAATCTGGCTAGGAATGTCGCTCGAATAGTAAGAAGATTTCAATGATTTTTTACAAGCTAATTGCTATCACATGCCGTTATTGCCACCTTTTTGCTGACAAATACACCTCACCGAGATTTCTTCCATGACAAGGATTTTCCTTCTTCAAAGAAAAATGAGTGTTAGTAGCTTCTTTGAGAGTATAAAAGATCAGCTCGAAGAATAAATTCCTTTAACTTTGATCAATCCCCATCAGGGATGCGCCCCGCATTCGACTTCAATTCAGAATCGTAGTAGAGTATGAATGCGTATGTGGCCCATACAATGACTTGCGTTGGCCAGCTAATGCAAAAGCCAGTGCTCTTATCCTCCCGGATGAGTCTGGCACCAATCACCCGATCCCGTAAGGATAGGAGGCTTAGTTGGTCTAGGCTGATATCGATCCGTAGCTCGAACCCGTGACCATCCTTGTGTGAACGCGAAATTCGCCATTACCCTAACCCCGCCCAAAACAATAAAATGCTATTCTAAATAACTGATGTTAAAAACAGTTAATGTTATTCTAATTTATTGTTCATAGAACTTAGCTCACGAAGTCTTGATCGAAATGCATCATAGTAAATGTTGCGTTTATAGTCAGCGAACTTATACCCATCTCTAAGTGTAGAGCACGTATAACTATCGAAAACGTCACCACATTGAACGTCAGGACGGAAGAAGGCTCCCAAGCCGCAGCTTTCGATGCTTGGCGACCTATGTCATCGATACGATGCCGTAGGTGTCTAACCGAAAAGCGTAGTTTCAGTTTATTGGTTCCGTGAAATGCGCACTCACCTGTGACAAAGCACCAGCGAGCGTAGCTTTCCTCGTCTCAACAAAGCCCCATGCCACTCGCCAACTGTAGTACCAGACAGAGGCCATTTCAGTTTTTCAGTTTCTTTTCAGTTTTCCTCGTCGAAGTACATCATCATCACAGACTACGAGCACCTTTTCAGTGAAGGTAACTTTTTTTTCGAAATATCTTTTCAGCTGCTCGCAAAGTAGCAGGATAGTGAATTGCAGGATTTGAAGTGAAAGTGAGATCTATCGCTTCCCGTCGACTCGCTGAGCGATCGCAGACCATTCTCGCTTATCGAATTTTCGAGATTGACAAAAAAATTTCGGCGTAAGTTTTTCTGAAGATTGTTTACGGGCAGAGCGGGTTTTTCTTAAGAACTTGTCACAGCGATGATCAGTGTGCTAATGAGATTGTGCCTCGCTCCCTTGTTGCGAGTATTTTTTTATTCAATCATTTTCTTTTGCACAAAGGATGCGCCAACAACTTGCCTGCAATGAGAAGTATAATAAAAGCTTCACACATTCAAGAGGGAAGCATCGCAAAAAGAAAAAATTGTGAAAATAAATCGCAAAAACATAGTATGCGTTTTTCTTGAGCGGTTTCCGAAGCATTTCCATCAGGCCTGCAACCTCCCATGAACTTACCAGTTCGTGGGAGGTTGCAGGCTTGCTTTTTTGAGTAGCTTCGTGAAGGAGCTTGGCCTGTTGAGATGATCCTAAGAGCTGCGGTAGAGTTTTGAGTCCTTCACATTTATCCCCATTTCTTCTTGCGAAACCGACACTGGAGTAACCCGGCTTACTGGCCTATATTGGAAGGATTTTCGAATGTGAAACACCGCTTAGCTCCGGTTTTTACGTAGAATCAGAGCTAAAATGTTTTTTTCTGGGGAAGCTCAATCCAGTCTATTCAAGGTTACCTCGCAACAAGTCCGATTTGCATAAATTGTACAAATCACAACACGCTGTGGTTTTCCATTCGAGATACTATCCAGGTACGTTCTCCGTTCAGCCGTTCACGGTACCTTCATATTTTTCAAAAAGTTCCTAAAGTGACTATATAAAATAAATATTTCGTTAGCAATAATTCACCTTCTTTCGTGAAAGCATCTTTTCTGCCAAACAAGGAGTAGAGGTCTGCAGAGCGCCTCCCACACTTTGCACTGAGGAAGTGGGTAGATTTTTTGAAGCTGATTTTGTATGCGCATGCTTCCTTGACTGATAGTTGAGAAGCTCCATCAAATATCCTACTCTCAACCCCACTGCAAAAGCTCCCTAGATATTCACCCCTTCCCAAAAGATTACTGTATTCTGGTAAAGCAAGAGCTCTGTAAAATGGTTGCACCTTGAGAAGAAAGTAAATTGTTCCTCTGTTAGCCTAGTTTCGCTATTATCCAGGTTCAGGAGCCCATGACATAACTGGACTCGAGGAGTGGTTTTCGAAGAATAAAACAGTCGACGGTTTATTCGCTAAAGATCAGAAGTGAGAGGCTTTCAAATGAGGGAAAGAACTAGCTATGGTAGGGCTCTGACACCATTCACTTTCAGGTATGACAGGTCGAACTGGGAACCGCAGTTCGTCTCTCACTCGCGGATTCCTTTCCATGATGAGCGGTTCCCTTTTCAACTGAGAGACAACACCGTGCTAGTGAGTTTTCTTCCTTACGTTCTCCGAGGCTCCCAATACCAAGGTTTGCTTCAGCGATGGGAACTTTGTCGAGCGAATTACACAATTGACATATTGGACGACGTCTTCATGTTTCATCGAGGAATTAAACTGCAAAAAAATATGGAGTCATTGAGAATACAAATGCAGAACACAGCTATGTTAGTCTTGGAGCTTCGCAACTACTAAGTAAGGGATAAAGCCCGATGTAAAGCTGGAAGGTTCTTTTCAGATTCAATGAGGCTCTGAAAGCCTTCAAAGAGCGAATGGATAAGGAATACCCGGAAACCAAACACCGATGCCCTACACCAGAGCGGTAATCGCAAAAGCTTTCCAACCAAGGAACGAAAAGTCCCGAGAACTCTGTGGCAGTCTGTTCTTGGGCACGTGGAGACGCCAAGCACTGCTCTCGGAAGAGAGAGTCGCGCAAGATTTCAGCCGAACTCCGAAGTGTGGCGAGCCACTAGTCTATTTTCTTACTAAATAAAGTTTTGTTTTGTCGTGACCTATTGACGGCAAAAAAAGTGAAATTATCACGAGCTATGCCTGTGAGGGCGCATTTGTTTTGTACAATGAACTGTGCGAGCCAGTTGATTTCCAACTCAACGCTTTTATACTCTCTCGAGTGTCCGGCAACACGTATCCTATTCCTTTCGTAAGTTCTTTTTAAGCTTGTCGTTCAAGAAGGAAGTCTTTCTGGAATTGGTAGGTACCGACACTGTGTATCATAGGAGGAACGGTGATTTACCTAAAAATAACTTCAGCGGCTTTTGAAGTGGTTTTTTGTTGGTCTCTTTGTAGATTCAGTTTTCGTCAGTACAATGAGACTGTGATTCTGAGAAACGAAACTGTCATTTGTAACGTGTAACGGGCGTGGTGCCGGTAGAAACACAAATAAGCAATAAAACCGTGGGCTTACGCCAGAGGTGGAAACAATCGAGGTAATTCGCGGCTTACGCTGAGAACAGAAACAATCAAGATAGTATTGGCTTGGGGCTTGCGCAGAATGCAGGAACAATCGAGTAAAGCGCTCATCCAAGTATTATCCTGGTTTGCGCCGAAGGCGGAAAGAAACGATGAACGTAATTCTGCGGCGTAGTGCCGGAGAGGGACCAACCAGTAGTGCGGTGCGGGGCTCCGCGGTGGGAACTATTACCTTTCACGATGGGAGCAGAGTTAAAAGAGCTAAAGCTAGAGCCAATAACGAGGATACTATATATAGGTATATATATAGATAAATAGAAAGTACTAGTACTACAGTCGTGAGATTCCCTGAACGAAATCGAACGCTGGTTTCTGAACGCAATCTGCGTAAGGTATCCTTTCCCAAAAGTGCGGTGGTTCACAGTGGTTTGATTACAATTTAATTCAAAGGATAACAATGCGTGACAAGATCAATCTGCTCAGGGGGACGCACGATTTTCCAAGTGCGCGCGGCAGATTGCGCGGCGGAATTCATGATGATTCGAACGACTCTGATGCCTACGAATGGAGCACAAACTTAAAGTAGAGCAGATTAGTAGGATCAGCTGACCATACCCAACCATTCTACTTCAAGTTTGTGCTCCAATAATAGGCGCCAGAATCGCTCGAATCGCACCGAATTTCGCCGCGCAATTTGCCGCTCGCGCCCAGAATCGCACGAATCGGCACACACCCATCTGCTCATGCGTCAGTTAAAGCGTGTGAAAGGGTTACGAAAATAGCCAACACGTAAAACGAGTACCAACAAAAATGAGCTCCGACCGGGAGGTTGCTGTCTTTTATAGCCCCATGAAGACCAGGGTTTAAAGTTCAATAGATGCTCCCTGTGTTTGTCTCCTGGTTGATTGGTGTTCGTTCTGTGTGTTCGATGTTTCGGATTTGCGCGGGCTTTCCTAGGTGTTCGATGGGGTTCGCCGGGTCTTTCTAATCATAATTTTGCTCTCCTAAACCATCCCTTTTGAGATTGCAATTTATGTTGCAATACTCCCGGCTCGCCCTCGTTATGCGTGAATTTGTGACATATCGAAAATCGGAACACATCACATAACAGACAGTATACGAAATATCACTACACTAATTTTCGAAGTTATTGTTTCAGGCTTTCTAACTTTTTCCTTGCTGCTC